TTTCTTTGGATTTGAATAGCTTGGAGGAATATAATTCATACGCGAAAAAATATAATTCGCAATAAACATTTAATAAATTGTGAATTCTTTTCAAGAATTTAAGGGTACCTTAAATGGAGATTTCTCATGATTTTTACATAAAATGTATAGATATAATAAATAATTTGTGGAAAATCTATACTACCATTAAGAATATTTGGCGTAATTAGGGATGCGTTCGCGTAACCTGATTATATTTCTAAAAGCAATTCGAATTATGCGTTTGCGCAACTTCGAGTGAACATTTTAATAAAAGGGATTTCTCCGAGGATGTTAATATAATTTCATATAACCCGAGATGTGCAGTTCATTGTTTAAATACAAGGGTGACGATGATCTTAATTTTATTTTAAATTTTGAACATATGTTTTTTTTTTATAAAAACTATAATATGATCAATTTTATTGTGTACACGTATGCGTGACACGATCCTCTGTAATTATAAAAGGTATATAATACAAATATACGTACGCGTAATTCGTTTATATAATTGAAAGTAATAAACAGAAGCGGTAACAAAATCCTGCAATAAAAACGTATTTAGTAAAATCAAGATAATTAAGCCAAGAATAAAAACAGTTGAGCAACCGTGCTAGAACCACGGAATTCAGAAATGCCTAACACCTTCTTCCGGATTAACAGAATTCCTTACTCAGGATTTCTGGTTCGCAGAATAACAAACAGAGTCATATTCTCCTCGATTCAGGGATTAAAACCGGTGACTTGGGACGCCTTAAAATTCCCAGGTGGTGACTCTAAAACAATTAAATAAATCCTGTTTCGACTGTCCTTCAATTGGAGAAAACTCCCTAAGCGCCCCGCGTGTGCGGAAAAAGGAGGTGCGACAATGTAGATTTAAAGAGATGTGCAACAAGCACATGAGCATTCAGAATGATAGCTGAGCATATCAGTTTGACCCAACTGAGTTACCATTTTACCAGCAGTACTTATGTAGTGACATTACCATTTACCGCATGTTCTAAAAAAGGCTTGACTATGTTAATTTGACTAGATGTTAAATCCTTAACTTTTGGTTGGTGGGGTCATTATCCTTTTTCTAATGTATGCTTGTACTTATCCATACAAAATCTGCCTTCATTATTGTGAATTCTGACCCTTGTAATTGCAAGGATGAACTCAAATGTCTGATAATTGTTAAAAAATGTAAATAGTTCATTGAGAATTCTTGCTTTAGCTGGTGTGTGTGTGCATGAAGTTGTGTTTTCAATTTATTTTTTTTGGTTTGAGGTGTAAAAAGCTGAAAATTTGTATTAGGAAAAGGTTTTCAAGATTTAAAATTCAAGATTTTCTAGACAGCAACTTTTCATATATATATATATCAGAATTTGCATTCCTTTTTATCTGTATAACTAAAAACTACTACTAGTAAATACGAAAATGATTTACCAAAATAACAGATTAAAAATTATACTTATACCAGAAAGTTTAGTGACAGGTATTCTTGAAAGGCTTTTTGGCATGGTATAAAAGTACTACAAAACCTAATTCTAACTTATCCGTGTTACCAAACACGTTCTTCAGCAGGGGCGGCCCTCCCATAAGTCAAGTAAAACAATTGCTTTAGGCCCTATATTTGTGGGGGCCCCATTTTTATTACATCTAATAGATTATGTATAAATTAAAGAAGTTATGTAAAATAAAAAAGTTTGATTTCTTTCTTTAACAAATTTAAACTTGTTAAAGAGAAGAAGGATTTGCAATTGCTATGATTTCTACCAAGAAAATTGCACTTCAAAGGAATATCGAACCCGAATTTTGGAAGAAACAAATCGGAAGCAACAATTTGATACGAATGTTAATAATGAAATCCCAAAATCTTTCGAAGAGTCTTTTCGAATTAATTACTTTTATACATAATAGACAAGACTATTTTTTCAATTCAAAATAGATATGAACAATTTGAAGTATATGCAAATATTTTTGGTTTTCTATTTGACGGTAAAAACTAAGATGACTAGATGTTAGAAATTTGAAAAAATACGGCCTTCATCTTGAATATTCCTTAAAGCATAATAATTAATTCGATATTGATGGTTTAGATTTATTTTCTGAATTAAAAGTATTAAGGAAAATAGTACAATTAGAAAATAGTTGTTTAATTGATAAAAAATTTAGTCAAATAAAAAGATTTAATTCTTTTTCAAATGTCTAAATTGCTTATGGAATAGTGTTAATAACTCATGTTACCGTTGCTTCAGCGGAAAGAAGTTTTCAAAATTAAAATTAATAAAATCTTACCAAAGATCAATAATATCACAAGAAAAGTTAAATGAATTATATTGTCAGTTGAGAAATACTTATTAAAAGTTATTAGTTATAAGAAGGTGTAAGTAATAACTTTGTATCTAAGAAAAACTAAAAAAAATAGACTTTAAATAAATAATAATAAAAAATTTAAAAAGTTAAGCCCCTCGTAAAGTTTGGCTTTAGGCCACAAAATTCGTCCGGCCGCCCCGTTCTTCAGTACCTTGCCATATCAATGATTGATGTTTAAATTCAAAATTTGAGAAAGAGAAGATAAATAAGACGAAGGAAAAAAAAAATAGAAACACGATAAAAATGCTAATCTTAGATCTAATTCTTTGTTATTGATGACACTAAATAAACTGGAAAAAAAAATTAAAAAAGAAAAAGAAGACAAAAAATCATTTACAAAAAAATCTAAAATCTTTTTAAACAGTAATAACTCACTAGACAGTAGTTGGCTGGAGTAAATTGTTGTGAGTAGGTAAATGAATCTGAGGTTGGATCTGCAGACTTGTCAATTTAATCCCACCTGATCTCCTCTTCCATAAACCACCATCCTCCGGCGGCGGTTTTACCTTCTTCACCACCGGCAACGGCGGATCTAATTCACTAACATTAATCACTTCAACAGCTCCCTTAATAATTTTACCTTTATCATTAATAGTAGATTTTCTCGAACCGCCTACAGTAACAGTAACACTTGTCTTCAGTTCTCTATTATTACCAGCAGTAAAATTCTTGCCGGAGAACAACTTCTTCAGCTTAGTGTACTTTACTTTGGGATTTACTGGGCCGGATAAGGCGGTGGAAGAAGAAGTTGGCCGATACGGAGTCGGAAACCCAATGACTTTATTGTTTCTCTTGACTTGGCCCATACAGCTGACTTTTGGGGAAGAAGGTTCGTTCAGATTATCTCCAGAGGAATTAGAATAAGGATTCTGTAACTTAACATCTTTAATGGAAAGTTTACAAAGGATTGGGAAAAAGAAAGTGCCGCTACTATTGCGAATATGGTGATAAAGCTGCTGTTGTTGATGATGATGTTGATTGTACCCATTTCTCATACTGTAGATTTTCTTCTGTTAGCTCTTTATGTTGGTTTTTGCGTGTATAGTGAGAGGTGAAGGAAAAGGGGAGGAGTTTTGAGTGAAAAAGAAAGGGAAGGAAGAGTATGTGAACAACAAGATGAGATTGCTCAATTAATGGTAGTCTGCATTTTTATATTTTACTTTATTAGTAAATGTACGGCTCTCTATTTCAATTTACGTGAACCATTTCTTTTTTTGTCCGTGCCAAAAAGAATGATCGATTTCCTTATTTGGAAACATTTTACCTTTACAGAATGATTTATAGCCACACAAAATATATGTGCCTCATTTTACACCATAATATCAAAAGTATTCTCTATTTTCTTAAACTTCGTGCTCAGTCAAATGAGTTCACCTAAATTGAAACCAACAGAGTATTACTTATTTGTTTTGTTTTTTTCTTCCAAATTTGTTTCATTTATGGGTCAAAGGTCCGGACTGACTCATGTCTCCAAGTAATCTATTTTCTTTTGTTACTTTTCATTAAAAGTAGGAGTTAGTTAATTCTTTTTTAGGTGAAAACTTATTACTCCTATGATCTAGGATAAATATGCTACTCCACTAATTGATGGTAGTAAATTTTTGACAATGCAATAAAATATATTTATAGTATCATTGCAATTTAACTTGTTAGAGAAAGTTTCTTGTTTTTCTTTTAAAGAAATTAATATTAATTATACTTGCTACGAGCAATTAACCGCAATAGCCTCTCAAGCAAAATAATAGGGTAATGAAATATAAGTTTCCTATTCTCATAGAAATTAATGAAATTATTTTACATTATTCAAGTGGCCTAGAGACGATCCTCCGGTCAAAGAAATTAAACTTTCAAATATATATTATTCGCAAAAAATAAAAATAAAAATCTCCCAAAACGCAAAATTTTAATAGTCAATAATTGCTAAACAGGAGTCTTTTTTGACATTATCTTCATGAGTATAAAGATTGACCATGTTTTTCAAGACTATATAGATCTGTTTTAGAAGTCTTATATTGTTGCTAATATTATGTCAGCATTTTAAGTCAAGTTAGTGATTTCACTTTGGATTCCTCCGTAAGACCATTTCATACAAATATATAACAAAATAAAACAAACAAAAAGAGAGGATGTAGCATTTTAAAAAAAGAAAACTATTAGTAGGTCTGTAATTACACTGTTCTATTGGAAATTGAGTAAAAAATTGGGACCACTGATTTGTTGTTTCCACCATAGAACCTACTTATGTTTTTCATTTGTAGGCTATAAGTACTGAAGTTAAAGTAAAAGTAATATTTAACAAACCTTTTGAGGAAAAGAGCAAAAGTTATCTTTTTTATGTGCTTAAAGTTTACGAGTAAAAATGATTTTGTCTCCTTGTTTGGATTTAAAGTACCACTTTTGATTATATTGACACTGACAAATATACCTTTTTGCCCAGGACTTCAATTAAATTTACTCCCTTAAAAAATTATATATCGTAAAAGTAATTTTTTTATCCAAACTATTGAATCCTAACATAAGATAATTTTTTAATATCGTGACAAAAGAAGTTCAAAATTTATTTTCGATCGTAGATTCAAATTATATGCATGACATTCCAGTATTTCTTTAAATCCCTTTTTATGTATTCTAGTTATCTTTTTATATGTATTCACCACTGCATTTGACACTTAATTTTTCAGCGTGACTAGAGACAAGCAGTAAATTGAGACAACTAATTATACTAAAACCAAAATATATTTTCTTCTAATAAAACTAAAATAGTTATTGCAATAGCATATAGCTTTTATGTTCAATTTAATTAAGTCGATAAATAAAATACAAAGCAACAATTATTAAATTTTATCAAAAAAAATCATACTTAGTTCACGATATTCTTTTGTCGTTTGATCACGCCCAACTATGCCTTGTAAAAAGACAATGCGGTCGTTGCAAATATAATTCGGTTTACAAGTCCGGAGTCGAACCCACAGAGAACTAAGGCTTAGCTACAGCTGTTCACTATCACCAAGAAGACAAGCTTGAAAAGTTCCTAACTTATAGATATTTAGATTCTTGTGTTTAACTAATTGATTAACAAATTAAAATA